CTCCTGAAGTTTATATTTATTATTGTTCTTTCCCTCACTTTTTAGAAATTACATCTCCCTCCCTGAGGTTTAAAGTTTCATTACAAATTCTCCCATAGCAATTTAATTTTTTTAAATACCAATTTTGTCCTCACTAGTTAAATTCCATTGACACCCCCCACATTTTAAAAATTACAATCCCCTCCCTAAGGTTTAAAGTAGCATTACCAATTGCTCCCTCAGTTAGTATTAGTTTCATTGAAAAAAAAATTAATTGGAATAACAATTATTTGAAAAAAAAATTTTAATTGAAAAAAAATGTTGTTAGTAAAATTTTTAAATTTCTGTTTAAAAATCAACGTAAACTCATTTTTGAATTTACGTTTTTTTTCTCAAATTTACAAACTGAGACAACAATTTATAAACCAAAAAAGTTATCAAACAAATTTTTATGACAGTTTTTAAAATTTTTGTAAATATAAATTGAAAACTGAAAACAAAATGGTTACCAAACAGACCTCAGATGGTAAAAATGTCATAAAATTAAAAAATAATTAAATAAGTTACCAACATAAAAAATGACTTATCAAAAGATTCTTGGGCTATGTATGGTTTGATTTTTAGAATTTTTTTTTAAAAATTAAAAATTAATTTGGTTAAGAAATAAAAAATAAAAAATAATTATCATTTTTATATAACTTTTATCTTTCGAGTGGTTAAAAATAATTTTTTACAAATTAAATTGAAACAGCCATACGTATATATATAACTTGCCCAAAAATTAAAATGATAATTATTTTTTACCCTTAAATGATAATTATTTTTTATTTTTTATTTCTTAACCAAATTAATTTTTAATTTTAAAAAAAAATTCTAAAAATCAAACCATACATAGCCTAAATATCTTTTGATAAGTAATTTCTTACATGGGTAACTTATTTAATTATTTATTAATTTTACGATATTTTTACCACCTGAAGCCTGTTTGGTAACCATTTCGTTTTTAGTTTCAATTTATATTTACAAAAATTTTAAAAGTTGTCATAAAAACTTGTTTGATAATTTTTTTTAGTTTATAAATGGTTGTCTCAGTTTGTAAATTTAAGAAAAAAACGTAAATTCAAAAAATGAGTTCACATTGGTTTTTAAACAGAAATTCAAAAAATTTACTAACAAATTTTTTTTTTAAATAATTTTTTTCCCAATTAATTTTTTTTTTCAATGAATTTTTTTTTCAACTAATACTAACCGAGAGGGCAATTGGTAAAGCTACTTTAAACCTTAGGGAGGGGATTGTAATTTTTAAAATGTGAGGGGTGTCAATGTAATTTACCTAGTGAGGGCAAAATTAGTATTTAAAAAAAATAAATTGCTGAGGGAGGAATCTGTAATGAAATTTTAAACCTCAGTGAGGGAAATATAATTTTCTGAAGGTGAGAGGGGGAAACCGTGATAAACATAAATTTTAAGGGGTGTCAATGTAATTTACCCTTGTAAATAATAGCTTGAAGTTGCACTGCAACTTGGCCATGTTTGGTCAATTTGAGGATCTCTTCAGACTAAGGTATTTGTCTCGACCAACTTGTCCAAATTTAAGCTCAAGTTTATCCCGGATAATTTGTGTAGGATTGGTTACTCAAATTCAAAAAAAAAAACACACACACACACACACACAAATGTCTTTAATTGATCATTGCATTTTTTGAAAATTAAAAAATATATATATATATATAATTACAAATATGAAAATTGATTGAGTTTTGTATAATAAGCATTCAGACAATATATAAAGTGTACGAGCACGAAATAATGCTCTCGTATAATCATGTTGATCAAGTCTGCGCTCCTCCAAACGTCGTCGCTTTACTCCCTGAAAACACAAATATGAGCTAGCTGGTGGGTGTGTGCCAGATACCTCTCCGATGCCTAAGTCAGCAAAATAGACAAATAGACAAAAACTCTGTGTATTCTGAAAGTCAAAGTTGTGTTACCTATACATAGGTTATGTTGTGAGCTTTTATAGGTTCCGCGTGGCATAATCCTAGTAGGACTCTTATTTCTCTATATAGAGTCCTCCTAGGAATCACACTCCTGAAAGATAATATTTATCCTCCAACACCCCATCTCACTGCTTAAACCAAGTGAGATGGTTTTACCTCGGTGGGATGACAATATAACCGAGCTAACAATATCTCTTTGTCATACTCAATCCAGTACCTCCATATGCAACACATAGCTCGGCTTTTGTTCACTTGCATCTTGGTTGCCTGTTGAGACCAAGCTAACTACAGCAAGTTTTGACCGAGCTAACAAGAGCAAGGTTCACTATCAGAAGCCCAAATACCTCGGTTCCAAATACTATGACCGAACTAACTACCACTCCGACCGTGGTGACTGTAATCGTATTTGGACCGAGCTAACTACAAGGTCTTTTCACTCAGCCCTTTTTACTGCGGCCCACAGAACGGCCCATTACCACGCCGTGGCCTAGCTCGGCCCTAATGCACACAAAAATTCCCTCTCACAAAGTATTAAATTTAAATTTTTTATTACTTTAGTCCACACAAATTACATCTATAACTTGAAGGGAGGAGTAAGTTTGGTTTGATTGGTTATTTATTATTTTATTATTTTTTATAATTTATTTTTCCTGTCCTAATCTCAATTACATTGGGCATTAAATTTTAGTCATTTTATTATAATGAAACTCAATCAATTCTTCATGCATAACGTTGGAGAAATTTGAATTATTGTCCGTCCTAGTGAAGTTCGAAGGTTTTGAACAACGAGTAGCTCTATTGATTAACTAGGGGATTAGGGATGGCAATTTAAATCTGGTCCGACGAGGATCCGATCCCCCGACCCTGATTAGAATGGTTTTTCTCCGAAAAATACCCCTGTGGGGACGGGGACAGTATTCGAAATTAAATCCCCAATCAGTTTCGGGCCGGGGACGAGGACCAGTGTTCAAGCCCCAGCCCGTCCCCGGCCCTGACCCCGAATTTTCCTAAAATAAAATTACCATTTTACCCCTCTATATATATATATATATAAACCAACCATTTTCACTCACATAACACAACACAACACAGCAACACAGCAGCATCACCGCCTCTCTCTCTCTCTCTCTCTCTCTCTCTCTCTCTTTTTCTCTCTAAAACCCTCCGCCGATCCCCCTCCTCCCATCACCGTCGAGATCTGAGTTCTTCCTCCCATCACGCCGAGATCTGAGTTCTTTCCCGACCTCCGTCACTATCTCCGACCGCCGGTCCATCGTCTCTTTGGGCATCAGATATCTCTCCAGTGATAGATATCTCTCTCTCTCTCTCTTGATTTGTTATGTATATATATATATATTAGATTTGAGCATCAAATATCTCTCTCTCTCTCTCTCTCTATGTTGTTGTTGATGATGATGATGAACAGATCTATTAGATCTGAATTTTTTTTATTTTTTTTAACATTTGAGCTCATCAGATCTGTTAATGGTGATGATGATGATGATGATGATGAACAGATTTGTATGATAATGATGAACATATCTCTCTCTCTACTATGTTGTTGTTGTCGTTGTTAATCATGAACAAATCTGTTGGATCTAATTTTTTTTTTTTTTTGCGGGAGAATTTTCGGGGTCGGGGAAGCCCGATCCCGGTTAGAGGGCGGGGGCGAGGGTAGATATAGGTTCCTCGTTGGGGATCGGGGCCGGGGACAGGAGAATTTCCACCGTCGGGAATCGAGGACCGAGGACCGGGGACCGGGGGTGTGATCCCCAGCCCCTCCCCGCCCTGTTGCCATTCCTATAGATGATTGAGGTTGAGCTTTTGATTTTATATTTTTCTTGCCGATCAAAACAAGATAAGACAAAATAATTTATTTGGATCAAATTTTTTAGTAAATTTTTATAATTGAATTTTAGTATTTTTTACAAAAATATTTCAATCAATATTCAAATTTTAATTGTTTTTATGATTTTTCAGTGTGAATTTTGTTTTCTTTTTTAATTTTATATTTTACTAAAGTTGAATAAAAAACAACTAAAAAAACTCATCCACACACATGCCCTAAAAAAAATAACACCAATTTTGTTTGGACGGACTAGATAAGGGGGAATTGTAATCCATCAGACTATTAGTCCTGGGATACATTGTCCCCGGACTATTTGGTTGGACTGGATTTGTATCCTATGCTTGTTCATGGGATTAGATGTCTGGATTGGATTATTTTTAGTGAATCCAATGTTTGTTTAGAATATTATGGAGAATGATTAATGCTCAAATGACTATTTTATCCTTTTCAATTATTTATTAAGTAATAGCAATATTGAACATAGCTTTAATATTTTAATTATTTTTTCCTAGATTAAATAAAAATTTATTTTATTTTATTTTTTGCACAATTAAATAAATTTATTTTTAAAAAATTAAATAAATTAAATATCAATAAAAAATATATGTTATTTTTTAATTAAAATTTTAAATAAATTTATTTTAAATAATAATAATAATTAAATAATGAAATAAAATAAAACATCTATTAAAATTTAAATAATGAAATTAAATAAAATATAAACAAAATTTTAAAATAAAACATCAATAAAATATCTATAAAAAAGTATTTTAAAAGTTTAAATAAATAAAACAAAATCAAAAAAAAAATATTTTATTTTTAAATTGAGACATTTAAATTTTATTAAGTTTTACGAAATATAATACATAATTAAATACCAGAGGACAAAAATATAATTTTATTAACTAATTCCATACGATGACTTATCCCATAGCCTCTATCCCATTCTTAGGATAACATAGTCTCATAAATATAAAATTAATAGTTCGGATGTACTGTAACAACGAACTATTAATTCATACCAAATAAATAGTCCGATCCCATGCCCGATCCTTCCAAAACAAATTCCCCCATATAGTATTAAACAGCCAAACATTCAAGGGACTTGAAATTAGGGCTTGGCAAAATAACAATCTGCGAAAATCCACACATGCCCTTAAACCGTTCTGGATTGACACGGTATCCGGTTCGACTCAGTACGTTTTGACGGTGAACCCATCATAGGTATATATCTCTCATCAATCTATGTACGTACGTATACAATAATACAGTTCAATCGTTACTGAATTGCAAGTCCAAAAAGCTCTGATTTTGGGGAATTCAGAGTACGATTCTCTCTCTCTCTCTCTCTCTCTCTCTCTCTCTCTCTCTCTCTATGTATATACATATATATATATATGTATAGACAACGTATATATGATGGATAGGTTGTGAACAATTGGGATTAATATTGTATTGATTATCTTTAATGTTGTTTCAAATTCTGTTTCATCGTTCTATCTATATTATGTCTATATCTCTTCAATTTATGACCAGAATGATATTGGGATTCGAATTTAATTAAAGTTGTTGTTGTTGTATAAGAATATCAGACATTGTTGCTTCCTAATAGTGATTTTTAGTTTTAGGTTTACTGTAGGAGTTGTGGGTATACCGTGTTTTATTGATTTTGTTCTCTTTCCTCTCTTTTTTTGGATACTTTTTATAACCCAACAAATTTTTTGAACAATTTAAGATCATACACCATGTTCCAAGAAAAAGGAACAAAGAAAAAAAAAAGTTTTATTGAGGAAACATTGTTGGGATTTGTATCCAAATGTCAACTAGAAATTGAAAAATGGGATTTTGAATTGTGCTAACACTTCCCTAGCTTTTTATTTTTATTTTTTTAAATTGATTGATTTTTATGTGCTTATGATATGATCATATGATTATGATGTTAGGGTTTGACTTCTGTTAATTAGACAGATGAACTTCTCTGGGTTTGTTTAGTGGGCCACGTTTTAGAAATGCTATAGATCTTGAGAAACTGACACTTGGATACTTTAAGTACTAGGCGTGAAATTGTTTTAATGTTGATTAAAAGTGGGGAATGCTGGACCGAAATATAATGCATTGGAGTTAATAATCTGAGATGGAATTAAACTAGGCCCTTCATGATAATTTAGCATCATAATTGATAGTAACTTTTCTAGGAGTATTTAATGTTCATTTGGAGCAATATTTTTGAGCAATGATAGTTTGATGTGGTAGGGATTATTCCATCCTATTCCTAAAATATTGTACATCTTTAGAGACATTTTATAGTACTGTAGATATAGTTATAGGAGTTTAGATATAAATGTATGTGCTTAAACAATCATGACCTTAATAGCTTTAACCGGATTTTATGAATTTGGTGTGCAAAAACTTGAATAATGAGAATGCTAGCGGCTCTAAGTCCTTGGTTCAGTAGGCAAATTTTTATTTTTCCGTTTTTCCTTATCTTATGTAATGAACATGTGACTTTCTTATCTTCAAATTGTGGATTTCAACAACGATTTGTCTTCTTTACATGTCTTTGAGCTTTGTATGTGACAAATAGGACTGCAGAGGAAATATAAGTTCCATTAAATCTTCACTCACATGATAAAATTTAAAACAGATGGAACGTTCTATCTCTTCTCTTGCTTATAAAGGTTCTATTGTTGAAGCAATTGCTGAGGCCAAGAGGCAGAAGAAAATTTTTGTAGTTTACATTTCAGGTAATGTTTCTTAATATGATTATTCTTTCATGTTTGGATATAGTGTTAGCATGTCGCTAACGTATGCGTTAGTGATGCTTTATACGCTGTACTAAATCAAATTAGTATGATCTCATCAAACAGAATGTCCAAACATGGAAAAGAAAAGGTGCTGAAGATACACTGAATTATTCCTTTTGTGAAGCTTTTCAAGCTCTTCTTTTGTGGATTGTGTGATGCTAAAGGCTTCTAGGAGTGATTTCTAGAATTTTCTTCTCCTTTTCATTCTTCTTAGTAATTTTCTGCATCATGGCCTTTTAACATCACTGAAACCAGTGTAAAAATATTTTTCCCACCATTAAACACAAGCTATAGGATAATTCTCTCAGTTATGGTCCCTACTTCAAAGTGAAATTGCTCATTGGATGGTGATACTAACATGTTGTGTCACTGTTATATCCAATATTTACTCCCTTTGTTGGCTCTATGGTGTTAAGAGCTTGAGGTTGTGGGTTTGAACCTTTGAGGCAAGGAATATCATTTTTTCCTTTGCTTTGTATTTTGCTGGTGATTCTACTTTGTAAAATGGCTTTCTTTTGTGCAAATGATTTAGAATATTTCACCATTAGTAAATGTCTAGATGCTTCTAGATCTGAGACTTAATTTTGCTCAATGTTGCTTAATTTTTTTTTTTCCCCACTATTCTTTTCCTTCAGTTAAACGATTACTTGATTTGTTCATTTAATGCCTTCAATTTTGCATTTTTAGGCGACAATGCAGAGTCAACTCATTTAGAGGAATCAACGTGGTTGGATTCAAATGTAGGTTTCCTTGCTGTCTTCTTCTTTTAATAAATATTCGAATGGAAAATTTTTGTGATGTTTTATATCGGTGCCATGCTCTTATAGTTGCATGCTGCTTTCAGGTTGCAGAGTCTATTTCGAAGTATTGCATTTTATTGCACATCTCAGAGGGGAGTACTGATGCGGCAAATTTTTCTGCAATATGTATCCTTTGCTGAATGACATTCCTTCTGTGCAATTCCACAAGAAAATTACACTTCTGAATTCATATTCATTATTCGCTATACGTTAATTGGCATATTTGTAATTAAGATATCTCTTGGTGATAATAGATTAAATAGTCATAATTTTAGCAAGGTATGATTGGATTTGGCCCATGCCATTTTCCTCAAAATTAGGCCAAGTTTGGGAACTTGTCAAAAAGTCAAAAAGTTACTCAAAAAGTTAAAAAGTTAACACTATTTACCAAAAGTCAACAATTACGGCTGCACAACTCCCAATTTGAATTTTTCCCTAAAAATCAATTTCTACAATTTTTTATTACACATTTTTTCATAAAAAGTTAAAAAGTTAACCCAAACATCCATATTTTCAACCTCAATTTTTTAGTCCAAAAAGACAAAAAGTACACTTATTTAGGACACCCCAAACAACCCCTTAGTTTCCTTTCCTTTGAAGTGGCCAAAACGTCTCTAGTATTTCTGCTGAAACACATTGAAGTAACTTGAACAACAAGCTTCTTAACACCAATCATGAATCTGTAACATAACTTGTTTAATTTTCCAAAATATTTGTCAAAACAATAATAGTAATTTAATAGTAAAAGAACAGAGAAGACATCTCGGATTTGTTTGAAAACTCTAGAGAAAGAGGACACAAGAGGAACTGAGTAGAAGAGAAAGAGGAGAACTTCCTTCTCTTTCTTTTGGGAACAAAAAAAATGAAAGAGCAATAGTTTGTGTCACTTACAGTTGATTGAAATCTTGAGGCTGCAATTTTCACTAAGTAACTCCTCTTCCTTTTTCCTTGACTTCTACAACCTTTTCTTTCTTAAGGTTTTATTTGAAGTGGAATTCTCCCCTCCCTAAATTTGACCCCTTATAAATTTATTTATTTATTTATTTTTCCTGGTATTATAATTTTTTCCCCTTTTTTTATCTTTCACAGTTTCTTGACCATCAGCTTAACCTTTTTAAACTTTTACTTATTATTGAAAAGGCTCTCTTTATATTTGTTTACTAAAAGAACTTTAACATCTGAAGGATGGGCATTAACTTAGTATTATTATTTTTGATAAATTGCTGACCTTGTTTGATTGGGATTTTATTCACCTTTAGAATCATATATACATGTCTTTGAACACAATGATTTATTTGACATTTGTTTATGAATTTTGCTTTGCATTAACAATTATTCCATATTTGTCCTCTTTTCCCTGTGTAAATAGAGTATAGACCCGAAACATGTTCAGCTAATCTATTCTTGGGCTTGTATTTATGTACATAGGTTTCAGTGTATGTTTCCAAACGTTTAGTGGGTTTCCATTTTTTTTTCTTTTTTTTTCTTTTTTGCCATGTGGTGATGCTGGGGTAAAATTTCTGGCCACTGCTGTTGTTCTATTTTGTTTCAATGAGTATTTATCTTAAGCTTTTGCTATTATGTGAAAAATGAAGCACGTGTCCTTACATCATCCAGCACAGATCCCCAGAAATCCATCCCTTGCATTACTGCTATTGGATACAATGGTTTACAACTTTGGCAAAATGGTGTGGTTTCTCTATAGAATGGAAATTTATTTATTCATTTATTTTGGGAAATCATACTGGACAATTTATAATTAACTTCTAAATTGAATTAATGTGCAGAGGGCTTTGTCAGTGCTGATATTCTGGCATCTAGCCTTGAGAAGGCATGGTTGAGTCTTCATATCCAGGTAGGTTGTGCAGATGATTCTTACTGTCTTCAGTATATCTTCTAAGCCTGTGTCATACTCCTATGGCCATGACTCTGCTCCCAGTCTTAATTCCAGACACCCATTTGGAATCTAGTTGAATTTTTACTTTACAAGCATATAGTTAATTGCATTGGAGACGCTCTGTGCCCAGATTTCTAATAATTTTCTTGCGTTCCTGCACTCACTCTATGAACTGGTCTGATAGAACAATAATGCACTTGCAGTTCACGACAAGAGGTAATCTTTTTATTACAAATTGCAGGAAACAACCGCAACTTTCCTAACTGCGGCACTTGCTTCAAAGAAATCTGAACCACAGGGTACTAACGGTTCTGATACTGCCTCAGTTGAGCAAGGAAGTTCTTCAAGCGTGGATGTTCCTTCACCTTCAACAGATAAACATGATCCACATTCTGAAGCTAGACCAGCAGCTAGCGCGGAGATGGAAAATAAAGAGTCTGATCAGACTGATGAGGTAAACTCGGATTGCTGTCCTTGGGAAGTAGAATGTATATCAACTGAAGTGTGCTGATATTACTAGCCTATCATGTTTTGTGTGCATGTACAGGAGATAAATTCCAAACTAGGTGATGAGGCATCTACTGGATCAGTTTTGGCTAATGCATTGGAACATGGTGAGGTTGGAAGGTCCATCTCTTCAATTGAAACAGCCAAAGAGTCAATTAATCCTGTGAAGGTAGATCCAAATGACGCTGGAGTTGGCCATACGTCTTCTGTTGCTAGAGATGTATGTCCTGCACAAGAAGGAAAATTAAATGTGGTTGATCATCATTCAGAAGTTACAACAGAAACTTCTCAAGTGATTGCTAATGCGGCAACTGATGCAGTACAAGACAAAGAGGCTGAAGCTGTAGAGGATGACAAAATTAAATCAGAAGTTACAACAGAAACTTGTCAAGTGATTGCCAACAAGGCAACTGAAGCTGTCCAGGATAAAAAGGCTGATGATGTAGAGGAAGACAAAATTGATGTTTTAGACTCTTGTTCAAGTAAATCAACTGATGTTCATTTAAATATCCGATTGCTTGATGGTGCTAACCTACAAGAGAAGTTCCTTCTAACGAGCACTTTGAGAATGGTAAAAGGCTATGTGGATGAGAACCAAGCAAGTTCCATTGGCTCTTATGATCTTGCCATTCCCTATCCTCGCAAGGTATTCAATGATCAAGGTATGAGCATCAGATATCAGCCTGCTTACTTTATTTACTTGAAGCTTAGCTACTATTTTTGACTGGCATTAAATTTATATCCCGTAGATCTGAAGACCTTTTTGCCAGCTTAATCTACCGATTCCTTTTTGCTTGCTATTTCACCTGCTGAAGTTTACTCTCGTTGAATCTTCTTCTTCTAAAAGCTCTTCTATTGATTTTTCATTGCATTGAACTAATTTTTGATGGTCCAGCACCATCTACAGTTAAGTATGATTGTTTTATACTCCCTCCTTCCCAATTTGTTGGTCCCTTTTGGGGATTCTAACTTTTTAAGGGGGCATGCTATCATTACACTTTAATTTGAATTTCAAAATATTTTTCCATAAATGCCGCTATCTTTTCAAATCTTTAATATATTTATAATTACTCGGAAGAGGTAGTTTTGGAAAATCAAATGTTTTTTACTTTTCAAATGGGGCTATCATTTTGGGACATCCCAGAATGGAATGGTGGACCAACAAAATGGGATGGAGGGAGTAGCTCTTTTGCTTGTTTTCAATTAAATACAGATGTAATGTTTTTTCTACTTATCTGGTACTTTCTTGCACCATTTGCAATGATTACACCAGTAATAAAAATGTCAAGAATGTATCTATTAAGAAGCCATGCACTTATTTATGAAGATTGTTGGTTACTGTTTGATCTTTTGTCTCAAAGATGCATTGTCTTGAGTGGTACAAAATTCAAGTGCCTCGCATTGTAGAACTAGAATTTGAACCAAAACCGAAGTTGGTGAGCCTTCTTACAACCTAACATCTTCCCTTATATGGTGCCAAATTCCTAAGAGCTTGGTTTCATGCAGGAGAGGGACCGCTAGTGAACCTTGTTCAATAGTCAAGACAGTCAATGGAAGAAAAAAAAAAATCCTAAACCACTGGTTATTTCCCATTTTGCATGTTCAATAGTATTCAAGGAGTTCATGTCTAATACATCTCCAACATGGCAGCGGCTCTTTTCTTTAGTGAGTATCCATTCTTCTCGGAACTTGTGCAGTTGAGGAATCCCCACAAGTACCCTAGACTAGTGAAAGGTCTAGACAAAGATGGTAGACAACATCCGGAACTACATTTAGCTATTAGGTGTTGGGATTCCTGATGGAGGAAATGTGATTCTGAGATGCCTTGCATATTGTATGTGAATGGAGTGCTTCTGAAAATTATGTCAGTGGATTTTCCTTATTTTTCATGGAAGTATTACTAGGGGTGTTCATTCATGGGTCGGTTTGGTTTGGTTTGGCACTAAATTTGGAACTAACCCAATCATGATTGGTTCTAAGTTTTTGGACCCAAAACCGAACCAATCTTGCACTAGAACCAATCCAACCCAACCCAATGTAGCTCGGGTTGGTTCAGATTGAAACCACGGTTCCACTATATTAAAAATAAGCAAATCAGTCAATAATAAATAATTAAAATAAATAAGTCTTTAACATTTAAACATAGCACAAACAAAGAGCAATATATTGTTTAATGTGAGCCAATACAAATTAAATTTAACTCAAGCTTAAATATAATAAATGCAAATTAAATCCACTAATACAACCAATTCAAATTAAATTAACTGCAAAATCTGACTCAAGTTTCTAGTACATCCTTCGTTTACCTAATAAATTTTGTGTATGAAAATTATCAAGTATAATCAAATCCATTGCAATAGAGCAATAAGGTGATGACATGTCAACATAAATAAAATTTTAAAATATATATACATATAGGGAAATTCTAATATACACCCCTTGAAAAAGGGTGCATCATATGCACCCTTAGTTATGTCATTTTCTTCTTTAGTTATGACCAATTTTCTTTTTTAGTTATGACATTATTTTAGTTATGACTTGTGAATTCTTTTGTTATGCCTCATATTTTGTTTGGTTGTGACCTTTTTTTTTTTATAGTTATAACTCAAAAAATTGAAATTATGACATTTTGTTTTTAGTTATAAGGTGCATATGGAAGGTTGTGCACCATAGTTTTTCCCATACATATATATAAATAGGTTCAATTCTTGGGTTGGTTCGGTTTAGGCACGACCTAAACGAAGAACCAACCTAATCCTATTGGTTTGATAATTTGAAGATCCAGAACCAAATCAATGCACCCAAAAACCAATCCAACCCAACCCAACCCAAAGAGGTCGGTTTGGTTTGGTTCGGTTCTTCAGTTGACTGGGTAATTTGAACACCCTTAAGTATTACTACATGATGTACTGCTCTAAGCCTAATCAATGTGCTCTCTCTCTCTCTCTCTCACACACACACACACACACGTGCACGCGCACACACACAGGCAATATGTTGGTGGAATAAAGAAATTTAGAATCAATTCTATTCAGGAACATATCATAACCCTACAGAGTCAAGTACTTGCTTCGGTAAATGGAAATATTTTTATATTGGTGGTTATGTTGATAAATCCGTACTTGATGTAAAGGACTTGCATGTCAAATATCTTCTTCTTCTTCTACTTTATGGGCTTATACTTCTAATATGGATGCAGATTTGAACAAAACATTGTCAGAGTTGGGTTTGTTTGGAAGACAAGCATTGATAGTGGTTCCACATCAAGGAGCTACTAGTTTTTACCGAAGAGGATCTTCATCCCATAACCAAACAAGTTCCACCACTGATCTTGATTCTTCAAACAGAAGCAATGAAGGATATTGGGGATTGATGAAAAGGGTTTTATCTTACGTGAATCCTTTGTCCTATCTTGCTGGTGGTAGTGCCAGCTCATCAAATTCTGCACAGGAGTCTCAAAGCAGCATGTGGCAATACAGTGAGTTTCTCTATCATGTTTTTCATTTAAATCTTAATAAAAGCTCTAGGCTGTAGAAGTCCTTGTACAATTTATGATCGTCATATACTTCAACTAGTTGTGGTAATGTTATACATGCCTGAACCAAGCTAAACATGCGTTCTGTATTTACATATTGTAACCTCGGTATAATCCTTGCTCTAAAAACCATGGCCTTCGACATGCAAGGGGCCACCATTATATAAAGAAATTTCATATGGAATGCAGAATAAGTGGTGGAATAAGTGATGCAAACTAGGATTAATCTTGTACAAAACAAAAATTAATGATAATAATTCATGTATTTTCTCTGGATGTTGTTTTCCTTGTTACCATTTATGCTGCAAGATTCTGTATGTCAGATTTGAGATGCCCTTTCTACGCTTCGCGTGATATAGAATTGGTGTTATAGAATGTCTCATTCTAGATATATAATGTCGCATGCAATGTATGAGACATGATATTGAGTGGGCTACAAAAAAGTTACGTTTTAAATAAGCGTGGTCTGTTTCTTTTATCGTGCCCCTAGACCTTCCCGATTACTGCGATTTGAATATTTACTAGTTGTATTCTCACTATAATGATTTGGATATTGTAGATCCAAATCCGGCACTGCAAAATAACCTGAGAGGCACAGGGAGATCATACACTGTCCACTCATCAGACCAAAACATTCCTGCACCTGGCAAAAATGACAGCAAGAAGAGTAAGCAAGCGACGTCATCCCGTATTGGAAGCAATATCCACACACTAAAGCATGATGAGGACGATAGCCGGTTTAGTGACAAAAATGCCTTCTGGAATGGAAATTCTACACAGTATGGTGGCAATAATAATGATAGCAAGTAAGATTGCAGTCATAGTAGCCAGAACTTCATAGGCTTCTTGCTTTTTTCTGATTTATGTCATAACTATGATAACAAAGTAAAATATATCTTCAATAAATTTGTTAAATGTTTTGTGCTGGATAATATATTTACAGGTATTTGTAAATGTTGGCCTGGCATGTGGTTTGTAAATATCGTATTTTATAATTATGTTGTTGGTCAACATGAATTGCATATATCCTCAAGGGTCATTTTCAGTATAAAATATCATTATTTATTGTGTTGGAAATATAGTTTCCATGCATTGCTTGATTTTATGTAACGTTTATCTTTGTTTTTCATGCTTTGGAAGTATGAATGAGGCGTTTTTAAGTAGTTCAAAACAAGAATCAGTTTGTTGGATTTAACTTTTTCACAGCTTTGTTAGAAGAATGATTCTTTCTTGTCAAGAATGCTGTGTCTGCATTTGGAATTGGGGCACTTGACAAGAACCAGCACTCGAGTCTTCGTACGGAATGCTCAAGTCTGCTTATGGAATCGGTGCACTCAAGTCTGCTTGAGTGGCAATGTAAGTGATTGCCGTGGAAATCAACTTTTGGTTTGTCTCGTATTTGTGGGTTTTTGCTCTGAATTTACAATGGAAATGCTGAACAGGGGAGAGAGAAATTGGGGCTCCGTTTGGTGGATTACGAGTGTAGAGTGTAGTGTTTGTTCAGTATTTTTAAAAATTAATTTCACGCTTACTTTTGAAAACTCTTTCCAAGGTGGAAAAATTTGAGTTAACCGATCGTCTCATCGGTCGTCCGGCCGGTTGACCAAAACAATATTCGGGGTTTTTTTTATTTTTTTATTTTTTTATTTTTTTTAGCACTTGTTATTTTTATATTACCAAAAAAAATATTTACGAAATTTTTTAAAATTTTTTATGAGCTTTGAACAAAATTTTGGGTTGTGTGTTTAGTTATGAGTTGTAAGTTTTTATATCAAATATCATGTCACATCACTTATTCAAACTCAATTTAAAATTCTTTTCAAAACTCATAATGAAGCAAATTTTTCACACTTAAATCATAATTTCAAAATTCAAAAATTCAAAATATAACTCTATTCTTAAATTATAATTCTAAAATTTTATCAAATATTACTTGAATTTTTGGGTTACTTGCACACGTCATGTTTGTACGTGTCATATGTATTTTGGTATGTTTCAGAATTATTAAATAATTTCTCCGGATGACCCATCATCACGTACGACACGGATTACCTGTTCGAGACAGCTCGCAGAATGGGAATTCCAAGCTTGCTCAAGTAAGAACAAGTTTTCACCTGCTTAAAAATGACTCTTTTTCTTTCGTTTTTTGATACTCAAATAATAATACAGAAGAAATATGAAGTGCTTGGATCTTAAATTAGTGAATAATAAAAAGGGAAAAAGAATTTTGATTTGAATTTTCTGAATTCACTTTTCAAAAAATTAAAAATTTTATTTTTTGTATTTTTTTTATTTTTACTGAGCTTTTTTTAATATTTTAAGTAATTTTTATTTTAATTTTTAAATACACTCAACATAAATATACTTAAAATATATAATATTTATGAAAAAAAAATATTTAAAAAATTCATTATATATCAAAAATACAAAAAACAAAAACAAAAACAAAACAAAAATTCAATACATTTTTCATATTCTTGTGTATTTATTAATTTTTTATAAATATTTTATTTTTTTAAAAAAAATTGCTTAAAATTCTAAAAATATTCACTAAAAACAAAAGGGAATTTTTTTTTAAGGTCCTTGGTGTTAAGATTTTATAGCATAAAGGACCCTCAATATTTTCATAATGTCTAAGGTCCTTCAACATCGATCTAGAGAAAATTCAATCTAAAGAAAATTCATCACAGAGAAAATTCTAAATTTCTCTGGACATATCACAGAAAAAATTCTAAATTTCTCTGGACAACAATGAGGACTAGTGCTCTGCTTCAAAGAAAATTGGGTTGGTCCAGAGAAATTCTCTGGTTTGGATTGAATTTTCTCTGAGTTGAACTCAATTTTCTCTGGGTTGGTCTAGAAAAATTCTCTGGTTTGGACTGAATTTTCTCTGAATTGGTCCAGAGAAATTCTCTGTCTTGAATTGAAATTTCTCTGGATTAATTTAAGAGACCTTAGATATTCTCTCATTGGCATTTCATCAAACACCTTCTTTATTAAATCCATGTCCCTAGCTCTGTACATATTTTGCATATTTTCAAAACAAACTTGTACATATTTTGCATATTTTCAAAACAAACTTGTGCAGAATCAAAATCAATTTGCAGTGATGCCATTAGGAGGTTAGTTTCAATTTGAAAGAAAAATGCAAAACAGATATGAATAAATTCTCAAGTATTTACCTTCCCACATTTGGATCATATCAAATGACATAGTAAGTGGGAAACACCCAAAAAGCAACCTCGACACATGTAATGGGCATCTTGACGATCCATTTGGGAAGAGCATATACTGAGGGAGGATAAAAGATAAGGTCCCCTTGCTTGTGAAAGATGGGAAGCGTTACAATATTGTCATGGCCATTTCCCAGAATCCATTAAATACGATCATATTCACAGTGAAAAATAAAGAACCGATATATATTCCTTCATCGGTTATTGAATTTCGAACTGACTCATCAGTGGAGTAGTAAAAAGTGCAATATTCACCAACCCTTGCAACTCAGATCGCAGTGGTTCAGCTTAGATCGCATCATTACGACGACGGTGTGATAGAGACAGAGGTGAAGGTGAAGATCAACATGTGCACAAAGAGAAAGAGTTTGGTTTGGATAGAATGAAGATCAGATAGAGAGAGAGAATGTCAAATTTCTCTGATCTGATATATGAGTATAGATTTAGGGACCTTAGACATCAAAAAATAATATTGTCAATTTCTTCCATTACTAAAAATGAGAGAAAAACCTTAGACTAATTTTTCCAAAACAAAATACCCAAAAAAAAAAAAAAAAACCTCAATTTTTTAAAAAATTAAATCTAAAAAATTGAAACCAAACAATGGATAATAATTGGTGCTTTTCCTTTTTTCTTTCAGTCACTTTTCCCTATACAAATCCCTGTACAAAGTCAAGGTAAACACAACCCAAGAGAGAAGAAAGGGAATAAAAATAAAATACCCTTTACAAAGTCAAGAAGGGAAAATAAAAGCCAAGATCCAAACACAAGCTAAGAGACAAGAAAGAAGGAAAAATAAAAATCAACATCTCCATATGATATATGTTACCTTGTGTCCATTATACATATACCAATTCTTCCCAGCAAAACATTCAACCAGCATTGTTATACCTACCACCCCTCCAAACAAAAGATCATGAAAAGCATATATTCAACTTAATATTCCCACCTCAAATTTAACAAAAAATAGGCGGCCTTAATTATAAAGAATAATGATACATACCGGAAGCTTAAAATAAGTCCCTCAACTTCATAATCATTCCCTTCTATTGTATAGCAGTTGCTATTCTTTCTGAAATGTTTTCTGCCCACTGCCTCGGCCAAAAATGCTGATAAAGTTAGTACTGTTTCATACCGCTATTCATTTAGATGCGTTTCTTCTCTAAGTTGGCCTCAGCCAGCTGTTGCTTCTTCTTCCAGGCTGGAATTTTACCCGGGAAAGCCCACCTCAATAACCGCTCCCACGTATAGCACACCAAGAACATGAGAAAAGCCCAAAGCAACAGTTTATCCCTCAGTCCTGATGGCAAAGGAACCAATTTCAACCAATCATTCAAGTCCCTCAACAAATCGGAGGTGATGACAGTGAAAAACCCGACAGCAGCCAAAAGGGCATATAAAAATGGTTTGTTTTCTGTTATGCTCTGATTGAACGGATGGCCCATGTAGTTCACAGCAAAAGTCGCCACCTGGATCATCATGCTTACCATGTATGACACAGTATTCACTAGGTTTGGGTGGAACTCAGAGTCTGGTTCGATACATTCCTCAGGCATGTATTTCTCTGCCTCTCTCACCGATGAAATCAAGAAAAACAGGTGGAGAGAAAACTGACCTAGCAACGAGAGAAAGACGTAGGAACAGAAGATATTGGGGTGGGGCCGCTCAGCTGAGAGGGCGGAGAGTGGACGAGCATGTGAGATAAATAGAAAGAATGCGGCTGTGAATACCCCGCTAATTGTGGCTTGTACATCGCCCAACTTGACACCATCAAGGTACATGACAGACAGCACATAGGCAGTTGCAAGACAGTTAAGACCAAGTATTTTGAACATCTGGAGAGTAGTTACTAAGGTACTACGGCCCTGACGGATTACATCAGTGGTGGGGGCCACCGATGCGTGCTTTGCAGTGAATGGGGATGCCATTGAAGCGTCACCGAGCTTGACAATGGGAGCGGATCGACCGTCACCTTCCTCATTTAGTTCCTCCATGAGCTTCTTCAGCTTTTGTTGTTGCTTCTCTGCAGCTGTCAGATTACGGTTACCAGCTGACTGGCTGGCAGATTCTAACCTTGCAACAGCTCTGCTTTTTGAAGGGCCTTCTCCATTTGCACTCGAGGCTTTGCTGGCTTCTATTGCGGGCTTAGGTTTCTTTGACTTGGCAGACTTTGTACTTTCATCTTTAGAAGATTTTTCATCTTTAGACTTTGTACTTGGCGGTGGGATTGCATTCAACAAAGCTACTCCTACATGGGCCTGAAAAGAAAAAGAAAAAGAAAAAGAAAAAGAAACTACATTTAAATAAATAAATAAAAGAACTATAAGAAATCCCCCACTCCCCCTATCATTCTTTCCTGCTAGCTCTAGTTAAAAGGTGAATCAGAAGTATATGCAGTAGTCACACAGAAGATTACAAATAAATATCCAACTTTGAATCATTTCTATAATAATCCTACAAAGGTCACCATAAACAAAAAAATTATAAATTTTTTTACGAGTCATTTACCTGCTTCAGAGCTCCAACATCATTAGTTCCATCACCACACATCAATGTTATCCTCCCTACTGTTTTAAAGGTAGTCATGATGAGCTCCTTTTGCTCGGGGGCAACCCTAGCAAAAACCTGATAAACAATGCATAATTTGTCACAAAGAAGCCATTGTCAAATAAGTGTTTACCAGATGGCAAGAAGTACGAACCTTCACATATGGGATGACTTTAAAAACAGCAGAGGTCCGCTGCAACATTTCAAAGCAATCACCCCCGATACAGAGATCATGAGTCTCTGATAAAGTTTCAACATCTTTCTCACTGTAAATAATTTAAAATAACAATTTCAAAAGATTACCTAAAAAATTAATCATAAAATACAGTAAGTCAAAACAGCAATCAAAAGAAATTTTTGCCAACAAGAGTAAAAGGACATTAGAGCCATGGAATAAAATGACAAACGAACCTTATGGTAAGCAAGTTAAATGGATATGCAAAATGAGGACTAAAATAGAGCTCATGAGAGAGAGAGAGAGAGAGAGAACTTAATTTACTGTCTTACAACTAAACCTTACCTGTAACCAATAATCTCAGTTTCATCTGGTGAAACCCACTCATATCCTTCGCCATTCTTTGACCGACAAAGAATCAGGGCTGGTTTTGAAATAATATGAACTTGACTAGCAACATGGCAGGCTGTCAAGGCTTGATCACCAGTGATCATCACCTGAAAGAACCATGTTCCATTAAAATACAATTGAAGTCTACAAGTCCGAAAGTAACCTGTAAGGAAAATTAATGCAATATAACTGCAAATGTAATTTTTTTTTCTTTAGTTGATCCACAACATGAGGTTCAGTTGAATATAATGCACACAATTTTAAGGTTCGCCTTCCTAATAGCTTACACTTCTCATATTTGGAGTATTGACATGACATTTCTCTCGTTAAAACATCACCTCAACCATTTCTTCAATGTAAAAAATCCAATTAATACTACGTATGATTACTACTTGTATTATAAACAATTTGATTCTCTTGAAAGAATTTATGCTTCACTCTATATTAAATCTAACACACGTTTTATGTTTCAATTTTTTTAATTTCCACAATTAAATAACTTCAGCATTAACTGAAGTGTCAAAATCAGAAGTCAAAAGTTTTGCTTGAGAGAAGACGTCAATCATGCTATATCTAAAGAAACACAAACTCACCAAGTCATGTGACGATGCTTTCAGCTCAGACAGCACAGTGCTCGAATCTCCTCTAATAGGACAATTAAATACCTGGAATTCAGATAAAAGCATCAAATAACAAGGAAGCTAGCAAAAATATGTATTAAAAAATGAAATACAGCAGCATCTCATCAGCAAAATGATATAAATTTCCTAAAGTAAGTTTGTACACAATTTCAAAATTAAAGGAAACTGAGAAAGATGGTAGCTGTTTTTACCGCAAAACCAGCAAAAGTAAGCCCACTCTCCACAACATCTCTATCCAAGCTTCTAGCTTCGCTGACCTACATGCAGTAAACAAATAGAACATGGCAACTTAAAAATAGACACAAGCATATGGGAAGAGTGTAAAAAAAAATTTAAAGGGCACTGTTTGAGTATTTCTGACTGTATGTCTGCATGAATGTGTCTGTGAGAGTTTGTATGTAAGTGCGTGCGCGCGCGCGTGTGTGTGTTTGTGAGAGAGAGAGAGAGAGAAAGAGACAGAGAGAGAGAGAGTGGGTGTGTGACTAACATAACATCAATGGTACATCCAAAAGAATTTGCAGAAAGTGAGAATGAACTCTTACTGTCATTTCTGGAATAAACTTATAAGCCAGGGCCAAAACTCGAGATCCTTGACGTGTATATTTCTTGTAAGTTTTAACATATGATGAAGGTAAATCAATAAGCATATCCTGAATGGTTTCTGGTGCACCCTGGACATCATCAACAAGCAAAAGGGCACCTAAGTTTAGTCAACCGTAGATATATTTTTTGTAATCATCCAATTGAAAAAATGAGAGATAAATGGCATGTTTCCTAAACTGAATAACCATTTAATTGCACAGGGAGTAGGGACCAAAAAATGAAGTCAAGTGAAAGTAAGAAATTCAACTACAAATGCAATTCAAAAAATACAAAAGCATAATTACTGTAAATGATACACATTTTAAGAAATGCTTCGATCTATTGTTGGAAGGAAGAAATGATAGCAAACCTTACTAAAATATATGAACCATTACAATGTTTTCTCAAAATTTCAAGTCATACGTCTATTTATTAATTATACTTTTGAGCATCAACTCAAACTCTAAAAGTACGGAGGAAAAGAAAACAGGCAACCAGATAACCTTCACAAAAGCAAGAAATTGCTCCTGAACACGAACAACAACTGCCATGCGTTTCAAGTGAGATGCGAAGTGGTGTCTCTGCACAATCTGAACAGCATTGCCACCTCCCCTGAAATTGTTGAAAATAAAATTAGGATTGGGAAAAACTTAACATAATAGCCTTGTACAAAAACCAATGAAGTGAAAACAATTATTCATTAAACAATGAATTATAGACTGCACAAGTAACTATAATGTCACTGTTTCTAGTCCATGTAACCTAAATATGCAAGACAACAAATAGAGGGGAACTGGAGTTATTATCGATCAAATGAGCAACAAGTAAATATTCACACTTATCCCATGTGTTTTGGTGCATTTTGGTATGTTTCGGTGGAAACAATGGAATTTCAGTATTCATTTATGTTTCATTTTGATTTCCTAAGAAACGTAAACATTTCAACCATTTCAATGAAAAAGAACAAAATGGTGCTCCTTGCTTAGGTCACTGATTCACATAGCAAGAGCAGGAGCAGTAGAGGGAGTAAGAGTGGAGGAGCATCAGATTTCAACACATTTAGCGCCCAAAGCACTGCCGGAGCACTTGTACATATGTGTTCGGGTCTGTATCTGTGCAAATGAGCTGGAAATATATTTTCCTTTGCATTAATGAGGGCAGTCGGCCTTTGATTCAGATTTGTTTCACAGGTAAAGACAAAATTTAGCCTTTCATATTGTCCATTAGCATATTTTTTCCCTCAACATTTTCTTTTTACAAGTACAACATTGAAGATACCTAACTACAATAAGAAAAGTGATAAATAACATTAGTTAGAACAAATCGAGGGTGCAAGAGAGATTAAAGATTGGAACAATTTATATCATGTAAAGACCAAGACAAACAACAATTGAGTACTAATTAAATAGTGACAACTAATGTTGCTGCTTACTTTTTCGGCATAGCCTTCTCATCAGATTTATAACTCCATTCTATTCCCTTAAGTGCAGCCTTCTCAAGAGGATCACCGACCTACAAGCAACAATGAATGATATAGTAACTAAAGCATAAGGCAGTTCAGTACAAAAAAGTTCCAATTAGAGATCTGAAATATGGATGTCAAATTTAAAGACACAACAGAAACTAAATCTGTCAAATATTGGTGACAGATTTACCTGCATCTCAGTCCTAATGCCAAGAATAGCGTAAACATATCTGACCAATTATTACAACACAGCAGAAACCAAGACTGTATTTGAACATATCAGCAATCAGCAACATAGCAACTCTGTTCAATAGGCAACAGAGCAGACCTATGCAGCCACAGAGTCAGCCATCATTAAGATCAGTAATGCCTCATGATTTAAGCCTCAAGATAGCAGCAGATAGGCCATACACACAAGCAATAGCAGCATAACTTGGTCAAGACGTCTACGAAGCAAAACTTAAAGTAATAACTAAGCTCTTCTAAAATCAATAAAATTAAGAGAGGAATCACAGGACTTCCAGAAGAGCCAAAACGAAAGGTGCAAAGTGCATCACTTTCAATCCATGTATATCCATTTGTAGGTCTTCAATATGACACAATTTTACACCCTCCAAATGCACCATGTTAAGCACATTGATTGGAGTGTGTGTAGTTTCGTATGTTACAACGTTAATTATCAACAAAAAAAAAAAAAAAAACAAATGTAGCTGTGGTGTCTATTTATATAGAAGAAGAAAATGTAGTGGTGTCTATTTATATAAACCATTACAACATTTTCTCAAAATTTCAAGTCATATATTGTTTATTAAAATGTAGTACGTCTATTTATTAATTATACTTTTGTGCATCAACTCAAAATCTGAAAGTAAGTAGGAAAATAAAACGGGCAACCAGATAACCTTCACAAAAGCAAGAAATTCTATAAAGCACGAACAACAACTGCCATCCGTTTCAAGTGAGATGCGAAGTGGTGTCTCTGCACAATCTGTACAACATTGCCACCTCCCCCTGAAATTGTTGAAAATAAAATTAGGATTGGGAAAAACTTAACATAATAGCCTTTTACAAAAACCAATGAAGTGAAAGATGAGCAAGAGATGGAAACAATTATTCATTAAACAATGAATTATAGACTGCACAAGTAACTATAATGTCACTGTTTCTAGTCCATGTAACCTAAATATGCAAGACAACAAATAGAGGGGAACTGGAGTTATTATTGATCAAACGGGCAACAAGTGAATATTCACACTTATCCCATGTGTTTTGGTGCATTTTGGTATGTTTCGGTGGAAACAATGGAATTTCAGTATTAATTTATGTTTCGTTTCGATTTCCTAAGAAACGGAAACATTTCGACCATTTCAATGGAAAAGAAACAAAATGGTGATCCTTGCTTAGATGACTGATTCACATAGCAAGAGCAGGAGCGGTAGAGGGAGTAAGAGTGGAGGAGCATCAGATTTCAACACATTTAGGGCCCAAAGCACTGCCGGAGCACTTATACATATGTGTTCGGGTCTGTATCTGTGCAAATGAGCTGGAAATATATTTTCCTTTGCATTAATGACGGCAGTCGGCCTTTGATTCGGATTTGTTTCACAAGTAAAGATAAAATTTAGCCTTTCATATTGTCCATTAGCATATTTTTTCCCTCAACATTTATTTTTATAAGTACAACATTGAAGATACCTAACTACAATAAGAAACGTGATAAATAACATTAGTTAGAAGAAATCGAGGGTGCAAGAGAGATTAAAGATTGGAACAATTTATATAATGTAAAGACCAAGACAAACAATAACTGAGTACAAATTAAATAGTGACAACTAATGTTGCTGCTTACTTTTTCGGCATAGCCTTCTCATCAGATTTATAACTCCATTCTATTCCCTTAAGTGCAGCCTTCTCAAGAGGATCACCGACCTACAAGCAACAATGAATGATATAGTAACTAAAGCATAAGGCAGTTCAGTACAAAAAAGTTCCAATTAGAGATCTGAAATATGAAATTCTCAGTGCTCAATAAACTTTTAACAAGGATTCTATATGTATTAGGTAGCTGCCTCTAAGCATAAGGCAGTTCAGTACAAAAAAGTTACAATTAGACAAGACTGGTTTGCTCATGATGTAGAGAATGCAATAAAAGATAGTGTTCAGTCCTGCATCAAATCAATCCAAACAATACCTGCAGGATATGCGAGAAATGTCAATCAAATCTAGTAATAATTTTTTGGCTGATATGTCAATCAAATCTAGACTAAAAGATAAGTTCTATAGAACGGCTATTAGACCAGCGATGTTTTATGGGACGGAATGTTGGGCAACCAAGAAACAACATGTAAATAAGATGAGTGTGACTAAGATGAGGATGCTCAGGTGGATGTGTGGCAAGAGTAGACAAGACAAAATTAGGAATGAGTGTATTCAGGAATTGGTAGGAGTAGCACCGATAAAAGATAAGTTAAGAGAGAATCGATTGAAATGGTTTTGTCACATTCAACGGAGACCAATAAAGGCTATAGTGAAGAGATGTGATACTGGAACGGTAGATAGAAGTGCTAGGGGACGAGGTAGGCCTAAATTAACGTTGGCTAGCGTTGTAAATAGAGATATGGATCTACTTAATTTGACTAATGAAATGGCCTTTGTTAAGGCCGCGTGGAGAAGAAGGATTCATGTAGCCGACACCGTTTGATGAGACTTAAGGCTTAGTTTGGTTTGGTTTGGTTTGGCTTGGTTATGTCCAATTCTTTTAAAAAGGACTTTATTGTTTGGACAGTGCTCCAGAATATAATATGCTGGACAATTGATATCAGTGACTACCTTAGTGCTCAAAAAAGATAAGTCAAATTTTCTAGGATATTACTTTATGTGGGGAGTTGGTGGATCTTCTTGGCTGCCTTTATGCCATTCCCCACATTGGAGGGGGAGAGGATGGGGTGCATTGGACGAGATCAAAATTTGGAAGCTTTAACGTAATAACCTATTATAAAGCCTTGAGCAGTCAACATTGATCTTTCTTTTTTTCTTGGGAAGGAGTTTGGGTCTAAGGCTCCGACTAAGGTGGCATTTTTTGTTGGGTAGGTTATCCATGGCAAAATTCTAACTATTGATAATTTGATTAGGAGACACATTAATGTTAATTGGGGTTGCATGTTTAAGCAGGATGAGGAATGTATTATTCACCACTTTATTCATTGTGGGGTGACCAGAGATTTATGATCTTTGATCTTAGGGAAGGTCCACATTGAGTGGGACTTCACCAAGAATATGATGGATCTTCTCCATTCTTGAATCTAGAATGGAGAAGAAAAAGAAGGTGTGCTGTTTGGTGCCATTTGCTTTGATGTATATTATTTGGTGGTACGGAAAGTGAAAAAATAGAACTCATAAGGGGGTTGAAGATCCATTTTTTTAGGTGGAAAAAGTAGAATATTAGCATTTTTGTATAGTTGGTTCTCAGATGGAGTGCCTTCCATAAATTAATTTTTGAATTTTGCAGTCTCCTTAAAATAGACCTTTTTCTTTTCTCTACATGTATACTGGCTGCATACAATTGGTGCCTCTTTTATAAAATCCTTATCAAAAAAGTGTTTAAAACAATGCAGATTTGTTCACAAATTAATGTACAAGTTTGGTGTGCGTTTTCATTCATACCAACTTGTTGTCCACGAACACCAAAGCATGACAAGAAGCAAGAATTTCCACAGTGCGGCCAGGAACTTTACTCATATCTGTTTCTAACTCCATGCTGTCAGTCAAGCCAACAACTCCACAAAACTCCTGAAAGCAGAAGTGTAACAGCAAAAAAAAAATTAAGAAAAAAACGTCTATTCCTAAACTCAGTCAGTCAATCCAACAACTCGAGACAACTCCAGAAAAACACAAGTATATTGGCAAAAAAAATAAAATCATAAATGAAAGGTCATTTAATCAAATGAGCATAAAATATTAGACTTGAAAATGCCATACCATGTCATCAGATGTGAGTGTTCCCGTTTTGTCAAAACAACATATATCAACCTGCAGGAGGATATAGAAAAGTAAACAGAAATATAAATTATGTAAACTACAGCACCAACACAACTGTAAATGAACAAAGAAACACACACTATTGTTTATGAACTTGAACTAATTATTTTCTAGTTTTTTTTTTTCCCCCTTTTTATTGACAAATATTATTTTCTGCAGTTAAGGACTTGTATTCGATGCTAGAAACAAGATACGTCGCAAAGAAGGATGAATTCTTCAGGAGAGGAAAAGAGAAAGGAAGCAAACAAGAAAACGTAGCTACAAAAAAATGTACTCCAAAGAGAAAACACCAAGTGCAACACAAAAAACTACCAGGAAACATAGGCAGAAGCTTGAGGTGGATAATGGTCTATGTAACTTTTTTTAGTCATGGCACCACATTCTGACATAATATTAATTACTGAGTAGCAGATGCACCAACAATGAATAGCATGTAGGCATTCCACAAAACTCAAATATGAAGCCAAAACATAGTTGTCAAAACTGCTGTAGTTCATATGAGAGGCTGTTGGCTGTTGCTATCTGTTACAGAATCAAGAAACATTTTTTCCCCTTTTTTTACTGGTCAAGATATTCACTAAAAGGCACCAAAGGGTAATCCAGTAACACACCTGCAACCGATATTCGTACCGAAGTCCATGTAACATAGGGTCACAGGGGCATTCATATGTCAACTAATAATCAAATAAAATTATTGAAATTTGCACTACCCACCTTCCCAGCAAATGGAATTCGAAAAGGTTCTGTACAAAATATCCCACGCCGTGCCAGTGCAATAAGAGATGTATTAACAGCTATCGATAATTCCATTGGCAGCTCAGGTGGGATCACAGAAGTAATAATCAATGAACAACTCAGAAAAAGCTTGTATTTGCTCCTTGTAGGATCCTCCAGTCCCTGCATCAAAGACATCCTCATTACCATTCAGAAGTGAAGAAAACATCACTCCACCAATATGAACCATGGAGAAGAAGTTGCCTTATCCGGGAGCCGTACTAGTGAAGTTTATATACCTTTTTAAGTACATAACCAGCAGCTATGACAGCAAATACAACTAAGAACAGTATGAAGAGCCCACTTTCCCAGCTGTTAGCAGTTACCTATAACAAGTATGATAGTATTACTACACAAAAGGGAAGCAGAAACAGAGTAGTCGTAGAGTAACTTTGTAAAGCTGACCAACCCAACTAAGTATCAAAAGTTATATACCCTCTCCGTAGAAAATAAAATAGTTCGCATCAGTTTTCCTTGGCTTGTTTCAAACCCAGTTCGTAAAACAACCGCCAAGCAGCCACCATCAGGGGTTTTCATAAGAAAGCTCTGACTCCAATGAGAAAAAATAGCAACAAAATGGAATTGTAATGAGAAGATTTCTAACATGAACAAAAATGAGAGAAGAAAAAAAAAATCAATAACATGAACAACTTTATCTGGGGTATGCTGCAATATCTTTGTCCCTCCAAAAAGAACATGGGTTTTATCTCGCCTAATTGATAACTTATCCTCAGCTCCTCTACCCATGATCGAAACCTGAAAAGATGGTCATGCTTTGAAGAGTTAGAAAAATCTAGTGATACAATCATACAACCAATAAGCAAATACAGAATAGCTTCACATGCAGCATAGCTGCCATCTAAACAATTAAATGCAAAGTCAGATGCAGATGCAGATCTTATCAATGTATATAGACATCCTTAACATTTCCACACTAACAAAGACACAGATGCACTCTCCTTAACGAATGAGTTACTGACTTTATGGTACAGGAAAACTGTGAAAAATTTAGAAGATCTATATATTCTCTTAATCCACCAAACCCCACCCTAAGTCAACCACATAACCAAAAACAATATAGGCAAAAGAGCAAAACTTAAACATCTCTAAGAAATTAACACTCAGGTGAAATAACAAAAAGAATTTGCAGTAAAACTAACAATTACAAGCAGAACAACAAAAACAAGAAAAACAAAAGCATAAAGTGACAAAAAAATATGGCAGAAATACAAACATCTAACCACCACAAAACAAGAACAAACAGCCTTAAGTTATCAGATCCAAAACTAGTAAAGCTTAATGACCAACAGCAGATAAAATGAGCAAACAGAAAAGGGAACCACCTTCCATTGGGGAGTAGATTCGCCTGTGAGAATTGCTTCATTTACTATAGCGCTTCCAGCTAATATAAGCATGTCTGCTGGTACAGACTTATCTTCTCCATTCTCACCAGTAGAGCGTCCAATAGACACAACATCCCCAGGGAGAAGATCCATCCCAGAGAGTTTCACCCACCTATAATCCTCAGTGGTCAAAAGTCAGCACAAAAAATCTGCAAACAGGTAGGAGGGAAATAAGATAAAAAGGTAAAATAAACATTACTGAGATAACGCACTTCCCACAACGATGCACCATCACAGTCTGGCCATCCACTCTTACACGTCTAAGCTCAGTCAGAGTCTTCAACCGACTTTTTGCCATTGTTGACTCGAACATAAACAGCATAAATAGGGTGAACAAACTGTAATACCAATACTCATCCAAACACCAGAGACCCACACAGAAGACCTAAAGGTAAGAAGAGGTAATGAATAAGGTTGTGAAAAGAGTAAAAAACTGACCAAAATGGAAGGCTAAAATGAAAGGGAAAATCAGACTGGGGAATTATGAAGGCAAACTTTGTATCAGAACAAACCTGAAATACGAAGAAAGGCTCCATGCAGTGTTCTTTCATTAATTTCTGGAAAGTGGGTTGAGGATACTCAAAGCTACATGGCCAAGAAACATCCATATTAGAAGCACAAGCAACTACAAAGATAAAACCAAGGTCCCACAGAAAAAATTGTTTAACCATAACAAGAAAAGTACTCAATAGGTAACTAGATATAGGTTTACTAACTAGGAAAAAGAAAAATAATAAGTCAGTTCGATCTGACATAATATCCCAACCAAAAAAGAACTAATGTGCCAATGAAAAGTGCATAAACAAAAAAAAAATGCATCAAAAGTAGGGTAGAGAGAAGACTCAAAGCAAGGCCCATTAGCAAGACGAGGAGAAAGCAATCACATGCACCTTGGGCAATTAATCTAGATATACTAATCAAGCAAGATATGATCTAGTAATTTTACCTGTGTAGTAGCATGAGTAGGGATAACACAATAGCCCACAGTGGGCCTTGAATCATAAGAATAACGCCTATATAATCTTTCTCTAACTTCTTTAATCCTTAACCTAACCCTAGTAACCATCCACCATGACCACTTCAAAAAACCTAAACCCTAAACCCTAAACCCTAAACACGCAGCCCTCTGTCTCTTTAGTTTCTCGCTCTATACACCTAACATTTGTAAAATTGGATTGTTCATTACATTGCTATGATATAATTGGTGATTCAATCTTCTTGTTTCACTTGATTCAGATTCTTCTAATTTTATGCATTGTATTTCATTGTAAGGTTTTTGATTCATATTGGTGAATTATGAGAAGGGATGACAGTGGGGTGGGGTTGTCAACCTCCGCTCCCGTCCCTGCCCCCGCTTTTAAACTCCACCCCCACCCTCGCCCCAACCCCATTATGGATGAAAATTTTCAACCCAGTCCCCACCCTCGTAGATACCTCAGATATCTGATACCCGCAAATACCTGACCACATTTCAAATAGCCAAAAAAATTGAGAATCATTTAAATCCTTAACACACTAATAATTTCTCTTGTTTCCATATATATAAACAATGAGACTTTTAGGATTATTATTTATTTATATTTAAACAGAACTACAGACTTTTAGTATTTCTTTCTTATATCTAATTATATTATATATATACATATATATTATTAATTATATCGGGTTGAGTTTGGATAGGGGGAGGCGATACCCGCCCCCCCACTGCGGGTGACCAAAATTTAATCCACCCCCGCCCAGCACAAGTGTTGGGTTGGGTAAAATCCGCCATATTCGGGGTGGGTATGAGCGGGCCCCCGCGGATCAGGCTAAAATGGCCATCCCTAAGCATGAGTACATCATCTTCCTACATCAGGTGGCTTTTGAAATAAGCTCTAAAATTATTCATAAATATTTGGTCCCACCAAAAAATCGAGATTAAAAAGGCCTGACCACAAGAATGCATAAAGGGCAGTTAAGTGTTATGCTTCTCAATGCAGTAAAAGTGGTAGTAAAAAATAGCAATATTGCATTTCAACAGAGCACAGTGCTTTAGTAAAAGGCAATACGCCCATGAAATCAAGCAACCCATTTAAATAGTGATAATTACAGATTCCAGTTGAAAGAAGCAACTATAGAACTTTTTCTCGGGAGGAAAAAAATTAACATCTTGAATCTTGATTCTCTAGTATGGAAATAGTTTAAATTCACAAAATCATAAGTATCCAGTAAATTCAAATAATTACAAATATTCAAAAAATACAGATGTAACAATAAAAGGAATAGAAACCCACACATTGCGTCCCCATTTCTCAGTTGCAACATTGACTTTTGCTTCAGAACCATGGCCAGTACTTTTGAGATAGTAGCCAAATGTTTCCTTGGAAGGGTAAGGAAGCTTACAAAAGGTCTCACTTTCCTTTGAGTAGATGAAACATTGCTTTCTGAAATCAAAATAAATCTCTTCCTCCACTGAGGATGAAGAACCTGCCAGCTGTGCAAGCCAAATATGTTTTAAAACAGAGAAAATATTAAAACACTTACTTTTGTTTGTCTAGACAGAAAATTTGCATACAGCTTCATTAAGTCTTTGATAAAAGGACAGGTAGCATCTATAAGGACAAACCAAGAGTTTTTTTTTTTTTAATGAATAAAAAAAATAATCCACCAAGGGTATCAAAAGAGACATAAATTCACAGATACCAAAAAAAAAAAACTAAACTAAAACCCTTCCCACAAAGCTGGAGTGCCCAATGAAATCAACCAAAGAAAAACAAAAACAAAATCCACAAAACTTCCCTCTCAAAATTCAAATTTCAAAACTAATAAGTAATAACAAGATGACCTATATATCGCAGTCTATATTTCCTCAAAAGTATGTAGATTCCATAAGCTACAAACATACCACACCGAACACATCAGCCCCGCTTTCCAAGTACCCAACTAGAGTAGTAAGACTGGGTGCCATAACCCAATGGGCTCCTAAAATCAGAACTCCACAAGTCCTTATCACAAACAATGAAGTAATGAACGATAAATGATTCATGGTTCCTCCACCCACAGACACATTAAACGCCCATCGGGGAGCATCAAAACCTGCCTCTCAAATTATCCAAGGAAAGAATGACATATAGGGGTGCCATCCGAATTTGGGGGGGTCGCTTTCCTCTTCCTCATCTTTTTTCTCACAAAACTTATTCTTTGATTACTGTTCATAACCTTACAACCACCTTGATTTGAACCACTTAACCCTATCTAATCAAATCATTCCAAACCTACTCCTCTACCCTTTGGCCTGTAATCCCACACCTAAAACCTATAGTGTCCAGAGTGTTCCAGCCACTATTTTCTGCAAGTCAGTGGCAGTGCTCTCAACCTTCTTAACGGGAGAGGCAGTGGGATTAAGGATACTAGTGAATCATCCAAATAGAGTGAGGTGATGAAGGGAATTTCAGGCTTTGGAAATTTTCCTGGCAGTTTTTTATGGGAGTTCCGATTGATGGATGAGTTTACTAGAGGATATACAAAAGGTGAAGATTGACGAGTAGAATGAGCTCCATCCAAAAAAACTAAAAAGACAGTTTTAGAGTGAACCCCTCCTGCCAACGCCAAGTAAAGTTGAGTAAACCTCTTCGCTTAAGCCATCTCTAAAGAAATTCTAACACTATTTACAATATATCCTTCCATCTTTTGAAACCTCTCATTCAGTCGCCAAAGGATATCCCCCAATCGCTATGCGTACTTTGTTTTGAAACTATCAAGAATAATCTAATCCAAAATGATCTTGACCACAAGGCACTTACTACATCTTAAAGCTTACTCCGCCTAACTATTTAGAAAGTATACAAGTGTTAAAAGAGTAAGGTCTGGGAACAGCGGTAAATGTGAAGAATGGGACCTCATCTTGAAGCATAGAAGACATAGATGAGGGATAGAGATCAACTTTCACAACTGAAACACTCTTGTCTAAAGTAAAAAGCTTCCAAGACTTCTCTTGCAATTAATAAAAAATAAAAACTGCTTTTGGTCAATAACAAGGCTATGTATTGTCAATCTTCTTGATCAGTGAAATGTAGTTTATTGACCTTTAGAGACAAACAGACATAACTGCACACACACTTGCAACATTTTCAAAGACGAAATAACAGAGGCATTACATTATGCAGATTTACAAATTCTTTTTATACATTAGATTTTTTTTTTTAATGAATTGACGAAAACTACTACAATGGCATCATGCAATCAAAAAATGGAAATTCAAAATACATTCGTTTTGTTGTAAGCTCTACAAAATCCACAAAAAAAAATAATAATAAATAAAAAATAGAACTTAAGAATATAAACTCAAAAGACAACCTTCCGAAAATGAAGTGGCACAACTTCTTTAGAACCACAGAATTTAGCCGGAGTTATTTTGCATGCATCTGCTTGATGAATATCTTTAACCTGTCAAAAAAACACCAAATATAATATTAATGAGATATTGTTCAACCATAACTTGTAAGCCTTAGTTGAATGCTTTCGACCCTATAAACTGAAGCATTTACTTCTAACGAAAGTTCTATATTGCCAGTTTAAACATTACAGGCCAAATTGTGAACTATTTGGGTTTGATCCAACAACACTATCACTGGACTCATACACTACCATCCGTAGCAATTTTTGCTTCCATTGGGCTGGCACCAGATTCGAGTATGTGTCCAGTTGACCAACACCACTCCTTTCAAGTTTGACTTTAAATTGAACTTGTCCAAAAAAAAAAAAAGTGTAATTTCAAATTACAAACACAGTTTAGGTGGCATGGGATGTCAGTGTAAGATGTCACTCAATGGAATGACGATATCAAACAGGTACGTACCAAGTGACATAGAACGCACAAAAACTTGCAAAAATGAATGGTTCAACCTCAAATTCTGCAAACTAATGTTTTTAATGATTGCCACTAGTACCAACGAATTTTGTTGAACCCACAAACATGATTTAGTATTTGTAATTAACTTTACTGTAATTTAAATGTTGCTATTGGCAGGAAATACTATATTTCTGAATTCACTACTTTCTTACTACAAATATAACTGAATACGAAGAATTTTACTAAATGTAGCCAATAAAACATATTCCTACAGATAATCTTCCTACTTCAAAGTCAGAAATCGGGTTTTTTTTCCCCTATAAATTGAGTACTGGTTTGGATCTCATGAATTGTTGCTGAACTTTTAATTAGTTAAACAATTTATTTGAAATCTTTTTTTTTTCTTTTTTTTTTTTTGTGCCTTTTGTTTGTTTTGATTTGTCATGGTTGTTATAATGAAATTTCAATTCATTTTTTCAGGGCATGATGAGATTCAATTAATATGTAGTGCCAATAATTGTTTCTCATTCCATCATCAACTTCTCGAAAACAAAATTATCAAAGAAGGGACAAAACTAGTTGAAGCTTTATTGGCACTAATGTTAGCGTTTAGAATAACAATATAACAAAACTAAATTCTAGAATGATACATTAGAAAAATAACATATATAATTGTTTGCAGCAGATTTTAGTGTATCACATACCTTAGAATATTGGACAAAGCATCTGAAATCCACCGACCAACCCGTAAAGAGGAACACCAGAATATGAAGAACAGCAAGACCACCAAGAACAATTGCAGCATCCACAAAGTCCAAGCTAGGTAGTATTGTGACTATCCAAGCAGCATAAAGTACCGCAAAAGGCCATACATCTAAGCGCCATGACCAATGTCTCTTTTTCAACAAATCAACAGAATCCACCACTTTCCCACCAACATGAAACCTCACCGACATCTCGAACTCCCCACCCACTAACCAACCCAAGTGTAGCAACTCAAACCCAAATTCCAATTGGGTTTTCTTTTGTTTTTTTTTTTTGTTTTTTTATACACTTCTGCAGATAAAGAAATATAAAAATAGTTAACCAATTGCAATAGACCCATCACAGTTACACAACCATGATCTGTGTTAAGTAACCAATTATCCCAAAAAAATAAATTTACTAGTAAATGGGTCCAACAATATCCATAAGTCACCAATTGAAACTATTGAACAGTGCTAGGGTTTTATGTCGGTTTCAAATACAAATACAAGTTAATTGGTGGAACATGAGACTTGATTGATTCTGTGAATGAAATTCAATTCAATTAATTGGGTTATTATTGTCACACATAGAAAATGAATTGAATACCCAAGTATTGTGAGCTACATATGTGACATAATAGATAGACATAGTTAGATGCAGAGAAAGCTTACGATGAATCAGATGTGTAGAAAGATTGCAGAGAAGAGAATGTTTTTGCTCAAACCTTGAACAATCGATCAATGTCTTCAATGATTCCAGATACAGAGAGAGAGAGAGAGAGAGAGAGAGAGATGAGAAGTGTGAGAAAAAATGAGAGAAAAAAGTGTAAGGAGTCCTCGATTCCCTAACTTGTGTGAGGGAACAAATCTGAGCGAGAGATTTTAGTAAAGGGTCATCACGTGACTGGGAGATGGTGGGGATGTAGGGTTTTAATTTTTTTTTGAATGAATAATGTTGTATGCATCAATTAGTGGATCAACTAGTATACCAATTGATAATGTGGTATAATTTAAGATATTTTTAATATTTATAATGTAATTAATGAGTGGAGTCAATAATAATATTATAACTAGTGTACCAACACTAGTTAGTACACTAATTGGTGCATTGGTGCATATAGCACCATCATTTTTAAATTAAGATTATTTACCTATGATCTCCTGAATTATTAAAAGATATATATTTTTATAATTTAGGAGGTTAAATTAAGAGAAAATTAGTCTAAGATCCCTCTTTCATTATTCATAATATTATTTTATGATGTATAAGGTCCCTTCAACTCTCACACCCATATATCACAGAGCAATTTGACTCTCTCAAATTAAACCTCATTTTTTTTCCCCCTCTTTTTCACTATAAACTCTCTCTTCCTCTACTAAATTCACCTATTCTCCTTTCTTTCTCTCTTCTCTACGTCTCTTTCTTTCTCTAAAATGTTCTCTCTCTAAAGCAACAGTCGCGATCTTTCAGATCTTCTATGACGCATCTCTTCTACACCCTCTAATCCTTCTCGTCTTCTCCACCGCTAATGGCCACAACATCATAGCTCTTCTCTCCGGTTGTTTGGACTATAACCACTTCATCGCGAAATCCGTTGTTGAAGAAATCATCGTCATTCATTCAGGTCCAAGTAGACCTTTGCTTTAACAACTCTCTGGCGTCACCGTCTGCTCTCTACTGGTCTTCACCATTTTTTCTATAAAAAGAGACACAGATTTGCAGGCAGCAAACAGATAGAGAGAAAGAGATATCGACGGTGGTGCTGGATCAAATAAAGATCAGATGAAGACCGAAGCTTCCTCGTCGGCACGATTATCGCAAAATCCTTCAGTCAACACAAATATGAGTTTGAAGAAAACCCTTTGCTAGTATGTGAGTTTGGTGAAGATGTCAAGATCAACACATATGTGTATATGTATGCATTTATACTGTTTGTTTGTTTGTTTTGTTTATTTGGTACACTCAATAAAATTTCACTAAGTTGTCTCAGTGAAATTTTACTGAAACAACTCAGTAAAATTTACATAAAACAAACTCAGAGAAATTTGTTTAATTTTATCTATCTTGTTTAATTTTCTCTATGATGTTCAATTTTCTCTGAATTTCTCTAGTTTGGACTCAGAGAAATTTCAATTTTCTCTGGTGTGAACCCAAAGAAATTCTTTGAAAAGTCTAGAATTTCTCTAGAGAGAATTTCTTCGAATCGATATTAAGGAATCTTAGACATTATGAAAATATTGAATGTTCTTTATGTTATAAAATCTTAATATCATGGACCCTAAAAAAAATCCCCTTAAATTAATACTTCTCAATAGTTTAAAAGGTTTATTTGAACGTTTTCATAATTTAAAGGGTCAAAGTGATCTTTTTAATAGTTTCGAGGTCTTTGTATAAATAACTCTTTAAATTACGATTGGTAGTATATTTGATAAAATTTAAAAATTAATTTTTTTAATTTTTTAATTATTTTGTGAAAATATTACTGAATTATCATTTTTCTTCGCCCTATATATATAATTTTTTTTTTTAACATAGAGCTTGATTATAAATTCAATAATGCTAGTTTGATTCTATAATATGATAGTATTTGGGCCTATTTTGATAATTAGGGGGGAAAAAAGTCAGTTTATTGACTTATTTGAGTTATATCACCTCTCTATTTTTATTTTTATTTTTGTATATTTAAAAAAAAATCAATAAGCCAAAAAGAAAATCACATTCCAAAATTGGCCTTAGTCTAATGTAATAAACTGGATCCATCTAAAAAAATTGTAATGGATTGGAAAAATTTCAAATAATAATAATAATAATTTGACAATTGTAACAAAACAAATTCTCAATTTTTAATTTTATCAATTTAAACCATAATTTTTTTTTGAGAAATTTTTTTTAAGGTCCCTAATAATAGTAATTTAGAGGATAGAGGACACCCAAAAAGGGGTGATGCATCAGGTCCCTCACGTATATCGCGCATATTTTTAATTATTTCGTGGACCAAAATACCCTTCACAAATCAACACAGAAACTAAACTGGATTCCGACAACTGAGTTTCATTCCAAACATCCAACCATCTTCACGAGCAAGAGAACAGCAGAATTAGGGTTTCAATATCATCTTCACCATCGACGTTAGAGTTTCATTATCTTCTGCAAAAATCTTTCTCATTCCTTCCTCACAAATTTCTCTGACCCCGTTTTCACTGTTTATCGTCATTTCAGTTCATCTTCATCACATTGCATCTCATCTCAAGGCATATCAATTCATAATTTGCGTTCCTAACTCTGGTAAATTTTTCTACAATCTAACGAGTTCTTCTCTGGAAACACAGTTAATTGCATTTTATATTAACCTTCCATTAATTAGGGTTTTAATTTCGTAATAAAAAGTTACATGAATTTGAACTTATTCTTGAACACGTTTGTGTGATTTTATCTATAAATTTCTCTGGCATTTAAATTTCTCTGGTATTTGCTCGATGTATGTTTCTTCTTTGAATTTTTTCTGCCATGTTTATTTTGAAAAAAGTTTATTTCTCTTTGTTTTGATCTTATTCTTGAACATGTTTGTGTGATTTTGTCTATAAATTTATATGCTCTGTAAATTTTCTAGAATGTCTATTTTTCTATGAAATGGGTAATTTTCTCAAGAATTTTCATTTTCTATGCGTGCTAAATTTATGTTTCTTTTTTGAATTTTCTCTAACTATATTTTACATCTATATGTAATATTATTCTCTTGTCTGTGTTTAAGTTTCTCTGACATTTATAATTTTCTCTGGCCACATCAATTTTCTCCCTTATGTGTCTCTATCACGTTTAATTTTCTCTAGTTGCGTATGTAAATTTCTCTGACATTTTAATATTATAGACTGGAAATTTTCTCTGGAATGTAAATGTTATCTGGAATGTGTAATTTTCTCTAGACTGTGTAATTTTCTCTGGCATTTTCATTTTCTGTGCTTGCTAGGTTTATGTTTCTTTTTTGAATTTTCTCTGGCTATATTTTACATCTATATGTAATTTGTAGAAATTTTTGTAAATTTCTCTGTCATGTTTATGTTGCTTTGGTTATTTTCTATGGGAAAGAAAATTAGTTGTGGCCACATGTATTCCACATGAAAACACCTAGTATTCTCTTGTCAGTGTCTAAGTTTTTCTGGAATTTATAATTTTCTCTGGCTACATTAGTTTTCTCCCATGTGTTTGTCTATCATGTTCAATTTTCTATGGTTGTGTGTGTAAATTTATCTGGCATTTTAATATTATGTGGCTTGCTAGATTTATATTTCGTTTTTGCAAATTTCTCTGGTATGTTTATTTTGTTCAATTATTGGTTTTAATATTGTGTAATTTTTTGTGGCATGTTTACGTTGCTTTGTTTATTTTATCTTGTTAATTGTAGAATGGAAATTTTCTTTGGCTTGCCATGTTTACTGTTCTATGTCATATTCATTTTTTGTACTTGCTAGATAAATGTTTCTTTTTTGAATTTTCTATGGTTATATTTTACTTCTATATGTAATTTTACCAATTAATGAAAAAATTTCTGGCATGTTTATGTTGCTTTGTTGATTTTCTCTGGGAATGGAAATTTTTTGTGGCAAGATGTATTCCACAGGAAAACAATTAGTACTCTGACATTTAATTTTCAGTGTCTAATTTTCTCTGACATTTATAATTTTCCCTGGCCACCTTAGTTTTCTCCCTTATGTGTAATTTTCTCTAGCATGTTCAATTTTCTCTGGGATTTAATGTTGACATCTTTATGTTTTCATCATTGTTTGGAAATGGCAAAACATAAAAGCAGGAAAACACCAGAAACACCGAGCAAGAAACAGAAACTCTCTCAATCTTCTTATGATCTTAGATAAAAAAAAAAAGAAGCAAAACACCACAAACTCCTCGCCAAAACACACAAGTCCAAGGTGATAAAGCAACTAGCATCAAGATGAATATTCCAACTTCAAAAGACTCAAGCTCAAGGGGGAAAAACCTGTTAAACTCCAAAGAAAGAGAGCTCATTACAGCATTCAATACCGATCCAACCTCTCATTTGTTGTCTCCTTTTTTCAAACACTTAAATTCAATTCAAACCAACTTGAAGAGCTTCAAAAGACCCCATTCTGGTATTTGATCCAAGTTCTAACTACTTAAAGGATAAATCCAAGGAAGTTTAGGAAATCTGATGATGATGTAGGTGCAATAATCCAACGTTACAATGAAAAAACGAAAGCATTCACAGTTGGTAAAAAGAACTTGACCTTTACAACCAATGACATGACCTTGATTTGTGGTTTGCAATTAGGTAAATGAGCCATGTCATTACGATACTCAAAAAAGCAAAAAACTACATTCCTAAGGAGAAGATTCCCAAAGAATACAAGGCTCACTGGTCCTGTTCTTAAAAATGCCTTGGTCAAAGCAATGAAAGGCAAGCAACCAACTGACTTCAAAGATGTAGCAATCATTGTTACCTTGTACTTGTGTCTCACCCTATTTTTGGCAACAAGTGGGGAATTTAATAGGGTGGGTTTTTATAAAGTATGTAGAACCACTTGAATTAATGAAGCAGTATGATTGACTAGAAGCAATCACATCAACATTGATCGATTCTATCACAGCATTGCACAAAACTCTAGAAAAAGTTACGAGGTGTGTCATTGCATTGCTGATGAGTATAATTTCCATTCAAATTTACAGTTATGATACTTACAAATTTATGTGTTTAGAAAAATTTAATTACTTTAATTTCCATCACAATATTAGCTATGTGAACATGCGAATATCATTGACTCGGAAGATAGTAACATAATTGACTTCCCAAGATATGCCAAGTGGAGCTTGCAAAGCTTG